TGTAACATCCTATCACAGACCTCCAAACATGACTGAAGAGCCTGAACCTGGGCATGACATGATACCCTCACATGTCTGTCCAGCTGAATTTTGTTCGTTTGGGATTGAGGTACAGGGAGAACTTGGTTCATGTAGCGAACCTGTTACCACATTAATTTGTCTTTCAGCTGACTCCAATCATCTCAGACCCAGAATACCTACTGGATCAACACATCCTGATCAGCATTAAGTCATCAGACAGTGATGAATCTTACGGTAAATGCTTAGCTATAAAGTTCTGGATGAGTCAAAATCTACTTAGTTTTTCCCAATCGCTGGAAGAGTGGGAGAGAACAGAACTAACTCTTACAGACTGAACATCTATGATGCTCTGACTTCTGATTTAGAGCTCAATACATACAAAAATACATTGTGGGTAATATTTTATGAGGTAATGATGCTGAGAGAATTATGAACAAGAGTCATCAGTCTGTATAAACTTTACAAGCCATAAAAGAGTAGTGGCTTAAAAAGAAAGTACTCTACTGGAATTAAACCAGGAGTCAGTCTGTTTAAATGGGTTTGTTCAGCACATGCAAATCCTGTTTCACTTGCAATTACTTGATGCATTTCTCCTGGCTACAGAAAAGTCATTGTCACTGCTGCTTGCTTCCAAGTACTAATCAGCTAGCCTGCAGTCCTTGTCCACAGAAGGCTCTCTGCTGTAATCACATTAACTGACATGGCAGTTACCTGCTCACGTTTTCCTTATCAGTCATGGAAGCTCAGCACCCTGTAGTCGCCTGCTGGTGTCTGGAATGTCCAAGTCCTTCACAAACGTGTGAGGAAGTGTAAAAGAAATACGACAGTCGTTACCATGGTCCGGAGCAGATTCTCTCCAGTAATCTTGGCCCTGTCTGCACGGATATAGATGACTGACATGACAAAGGGAATTCAGTGCTTTTTTTCTTAGTCCGAGGCTTATTACTTTTCATCTTCTAGGGGAAGGCTGCATTGCCCTGCGAATAGAAGCAACAGAATCCTTAGTTCCTATCCATACTGTGCTGACACACCATGGTGAGAAAACAGGGGTCTTCCAAGGTGAAATCAAGTTGCAAACATCACAAGGAAAGCAGAGAGAGAAACTGTATGGTAAGGAACTAGATCATCTCTGTAACACTCACAGTAGAGTATTCCATTTTAAAAGATGTCTCATAACGATCAAGGAATTGAAAATTATCCTTACAGTGCTATTAGTCCCAAATAGTAAGAGTTTTTGATGCTAACTGCATGAAGATATATTTTTTATTGTTAGCTCTCAGGAGTATAGCCATGCTGTGAGAAATTCACAGCAATTCCAGTTGTTTTTTTCTTTTTCATCATTCATGTAAATTTGACAGACTGAGAGAGCCCCCTGTCTGTCACTGATACTGGTTTTATGGAATGATGATACCTTATTTCCACTTGCAGTGGCTATATGGTAAAGTGCCAAAGCTGTCCCTCCACTAGTCAGCCCGGGGTGCATCTGCAAACAGTATGTGAGGCTCTCAAGGAGCAATTTCTCAGCTAAAAGATCACAAACCTGTTTTATTTTCACCGTGCTGCCTGCTGTTCTCTTTCAGAATACAAAAGTAGACTAAGGATATTTACCACTATCCTTGATGATAAAATGACCTGTATATGACTGTTTGGGGGCTTGCAACCTTTGTTTGTATTTCAGAATAGACACTGGCTTTCCTATGTCACCAAAACATGATATGAATTAGTGGGCAGTTGAAAACATAACAGCAACAACTGTTTAGAACCAGCTCCCTGTCATTCTAATACAAGTTGAGATGCCTTAATAAAAGCAGTAATGCAGAAAACCTAGGGAACTGGACTCTGAAGCTGCCCAAGCACTCCTTAATGCCTTTTCTTTCCTCCAGATTTTGTCAAGGTTGAACGTGATGAAATCACTGGGCAGAAACCAAAGAACATCAGCAATTTAGAGACTAATAAAGACTGGGATCAGGCTAACAGGTAAAGGGCAAATGGGTAAATCAGGTACTGAAAACTAGTTGGTTCAATAAATGTAAAGCTGGGCTTGCTGTGGTTTTAATAGGCATGATGAGCACTGGGATGCTGCCTTTGTGGCCCTCTGGTCAGCACTGGTCAATTCTTCTGAGTTCAAAGCTTTGATAGCTGAGAATATTTAAGTCAAACTGGGCACCTGCACTCCATTTACACCTCTCCTTAAGAAAGGTCCTTTCATTTCCAACAGAAAACCAAAATCTACTCATTTGATGGCCAAAGAGGCAGCAGCCATTGCTCGCTACTGGGGGAGTGCTTCCTCTTCTCCAGACAACCCGGCAAAGGAGGATATGTTACGGTAATCTTGCTGCCTTACCTCTGCCATTTTAGGTGGGAAGCTATGCTTAAACTGCTTGTCTTCTTTTCTGAGAGTGCTGCCTTCTGCCTGCAAATCTATACGGGTACACCTGAGAAGGCCAAATGTCTCTCCTGTTGCTCCAGCACCATATTTCTACACTGTGAAATGCTGTCCAGTGCTGTGATCTGCTTCTTGCTTTCAGCCATCCTGCTGCAGCTGCCCGCTGAGCTGCTGGGCCCCAAACCCTGTACAATTGTTGTTTGCCCCTGCATGTGGCTGCAAAAGCTGAGCACTAGTGCGCTCTGCAGCCTGGAAATGGAAGTGTCTGCCACAGCCAGAGAAACTGTGTGGGGCTGGGGGAGGTGGCCTGGACCTAGCTGCTTCCTCTCCAGTGACCCAGGGGAGCTAGGTGCTAGCAGGACTCCCACTTAGTCTCTGATTCTGAAACAACAGTGACAAAAAAAAAAAAAAAAGGCACAGTAGGTGGTATTGAATCAAAGCAGTCAGTGGGCACTAACTCCTTTGTAGCTGGCAGAGAGACAGAAAAAAATGTATTTTTTCATGTATCTTTCTAACAATATTTTTTCTCTTCAGCAGCTGCACTCCCACAGACATCAGCAACCCCAACTACCTGGGGATGGCTGCTTTCTCTCAGCAACCTTCTGCAACAAGCCAGATTAAGCAGATACCGTCATCAGACCAGCTATCTTTCTGGAACTACGAGCAGAATCCCAAAGAGAATACCTCTGTAATGGGACAGAGGGAGCCATCCTCCACATCACCCTCCTTGTCACCTCTATCTCCAAAACCGTCCCTCCAGCCTACAGTTACAGTAAACAGAAGCATCTCCAGTAGGAGTCAAGAGCATCTGTGAGTCTTTACCTTTTACACTGGGACTAATTCCCCTTCTCTATTATTCTGCATGGTTGCTGTTTCATTATCTGTAAGAACAGATGGAACATATTCTTTCAGCCTTTTATCTCTAGAATTAGAAGTAGGTAAGGGAAGGTCGCAAGTGCAGGCATCACATACTCAAAAGAAACTAGTGTACTAGTTCCTCAGCCTTTGGTGAAAGGAAAGCCAAAAATATGTGTCCAAGTTTAATTTTCTACCAGCTGGGTTCTAGAGAGAAGGAGAAGACTACAGAGTTAGCTGTACTAACAAAGAAGAAAAATTAGGAGTTGAGCTTTAGGAGTTGAGATGGGAAGGAGAGCTCCTTCACATGTCGTGTGTGCAGTACTTCGGTACTCAGTAGGATTTCTACTTGCACTACTATACAAATGTCCAACTTGCTATAGATGTCTGCATCTAGCACAAGTCTTGTTGCAGAATTCCAACTCTGCAATTGAAGATGAAAAAATACAATAAAATAAACTTAGTAAAGTGACGAGACTACTCTACCCCAGTGCTTGCATGTGTTCAGTGTCCTCATTCCAGGCCTCTTCTTCATAGTGACAGCTGCTTTCTGAGTCTGGGCTAGCGTTCGCTGGTAAATGTACTCAGCACACTGTAAGACAGAACTTGCAGGAGTCACAGCTGCAAACACTGCCTCAGTCTGTTAATGTACCTGGTACAGTTTTATCCATTCCTTAGAAATACCAGATGATATTGGTAGCAAGAGGAGATTGACCTAGTTGTATAATGATCTAGCATGATGTGAGCTCTTAACTGTTACCTGTCCAGACAGCCACTTCAATCCTCCCTGCCAGATCTGAAGATTCTTATTAACATTTCAATTCAGATTTGTCACGTAGCCATCAAAGCACTTGGTACAGTTTGGCTCAGTATCTTATCTCTGTTCAAAAGAGAAGCCAAGCATCACTTTGACAAGACTATAGTCCAGCAGGGAGTTTGTATAGCACCATGTCTATCTGCACTCAGAGATTAAACAAGACAAAAGAAGCCATACACAATTCTGTTCTGTCCCCTGAGTTTAATTTTTATCCTGTTACTTATTTGTGCAGTCAGTTTAATTTTATCATGTTCATTTCCTATTCATTTTCTCTTAAATCAGTCAGTTTATCTTGCCTGCTCTTTAAAATTCTCTGTTTTACACTGCTTTGATGACTGTAGGCCACCTGAACCAGGAAAGAACATGGCAGAGCCTTTATTTCCGGAGGAGGGACAGCAAAAACCAGAGATGTTTGAGAACCCACTGTACGGCTGTATGGGCTCTAAGGGCAAGGTGGCATCAAAGAAAGAACAGGACTACCCCAAGGCCTCACGAAAAGAGCAGCTGCCAGTGCCCGATCAGAGCTTTCTTCTCACAAGGCCGCAAGAGCCTGAGAGCAGCAAGACCTCCGGCAAACAACCATCCCCCCCATTCCTGGTCCCCACACATCGATTTCGCTCCTATACCTGCTCCAGCCAATCTGAAGAAAAGAATGTAAGTGAAAAGACTCAAGGCAAAACAAAGATGGCCGTGCCATCAGAAAACTCAGCACCACTCAAAAAATTAGTCAAACCTTCAAGGTCTGAAGTCAGCTCAGCCACACAGGGACAGGCCAACAAGCCGCCCCTTCCCTCCAAGAGCCGGGCAGTGCTGGACATGCAGAACTCCAAGGGCCGAGACTATCGGGACAGCTCAGAGCTGCCACACTCCGGGAAGCATCGGACAGAAGAGGGGCCAGTCAGCAGGACAACCACACCGGTGTGTTTCTTGTGGCTGTGGGAGTTTTATTAGGCTGTGGTGTCACAGCAGAAAACTACGAGGTGTACTGGTTTAATGTATGCCCTCTGCATTTCCTGACCAAGCTCAGAGCACTGTCCCACTGACCTCCAGGGCTTGCAGAGCAGGGGATGTGAGGGAACGTCTTAAAGCAGCAGCAGTTGTTATGTTGTGAAACCGTAGTCTAAGTTTTGCATAGAGTTTTAACTGCTCCTGAACCCTTTAAGCTTGATGGCCAGATTAGGAATGCAAATAGTCAGCTACTTCATTATTGCTTGTTTGGTGTGTACTGCATTGTTTCTGAGAATGCCCAAACTTGGCCTGACAGCACAAAAATGCAGTTCAGGCTGATAGGTTTGGTTTGCTGTAACTAACAGAAAAATTATTAAAAGTATTCATCTAAGGGAAGACATATCAACTCATAGCAGCATTGTCCAAAGACATTGTTGAGCCCTCTACAGGAATAATCATGCATCTACCTTCCTGGGCTGTTTTTGTTGTTTTCAGAAGGTCACGAGCTGGATGAAGAGTAGGGGAGGTCTTAATAAGTGGGTGTGGGACAAAAAGAGTGAGTGAGCTGTAAGTTTGTGTTTGTTTTTTTTTTCTTCTTCATAAAAACGGGCAATAGACAAGCTGATGTCTTCTCTTGTCTCTACAGTGAAAACAGCATGGCATGTGGCACCCTCGGAGGAGTCCTGGTGGGAAGAAAGATGGCGATTACTGCTCTGTTCACACTGATAACCTCTGGTCTGGTCCTAAAAAGACTGGGAATTTTTATTTTTGAGAGTGTATCCCTCTCTGCGATTTTGAAAGTGTTCTAGCTGAGAAGTTTAGCCTATGTTGCTCGGACCAAGAGGAGCCAGGACCACAATAACAAATGCAATTTAGCCTTTTGTAGTGTCACTTTGGTACTTCTATTAAGAGGCAGGTGGTTAAGTACATGCATTGGTAAATGTTTTGGAAAAAGAGGAAGGTACGGCATAAGGACTAGAAGATGGAAGGGGTGTGTTTGAAGAACCCCCTTTTTACAAAAGCAATTTTCTTTTATTTTGTGTTAGGGAATTCCTAATAAAGAGTGATATGTAAAAGAAAGCATTCTGAAAGCGGTACAGCTCCAAAGTATGTCAAATCCGTGGAGCAAGGAGTTAGGGGAGGGTGGGAAAAGAGTTTGAATAGCAGATTCTGATGAATGTCACACACTGTCAATGGAGCCAGCTTGGCCTCTTGTGTGAGCTCCCAAGCTGCATACATGCATTCATGCAGAGTGTGAGGGCTGGCCCTTGACACTGTAGCTCTTTTTTTTGTTTTGTTTTCCCTAGCAGGTAGTGCATACCCCTAACAAACAAAGCGAAATGCCAGAACTATGTGCAGAAATGGGAAAGAATAGACAGGCTGTATGCAGCCTAGGAGTACAGCTGCCTGAAGGGGCAGCAGTCGTTCCAGCCTTTCTTATGGCCAGCACTCTGCTTTTGAAGGATACAGGCTGGCTGGTTTTGTAGCATTCTTAATAGATTAATGCTGACCTTACTGTACACTTTTGTTCATTGACTGAGAATGAATAATGTTAACATAATTGTAATTTCTGTTATATTCATGTTAAGTATTAATGCAGTGGTTACAATTAGGCTATGCCTGTTTGTGACCTAATCATTGCTATTGTTTCCATGTTGATTAAAATAATAAAATAGTCACATTTCTGATCATTCTTTGCTGAAAATTCAGAACTGCCTGCCAGCTGTAGTTCAGTGTTACATCAGCTCACTCAGTGACCATAGCCCATGCCCAGAAGAAACACCACAGGCACCCAGGTGTGCTGTGAAGCTGCAACATTGCTGCTCAATACTGCAACTGAGGATGCATTTGTCTCTGTGCACAGACCCTTTGTGGATACAACTGGTTTAGAAATTCTAGCACCTGCTAGCAGGTACAGGTATCAATTCTATGAGTTTAGAAAATATACTGAAAGCTTACCTGGGGTAGAAGGGGCCAAACATAGGCTTGTGAGAATGGCTGGGAGGTGATAATTTGTAGATACAAACCTTTTAGAAAGAGTTTTCTGTACCATATAGGTTGGGTTTTCAAGGCATCATTGCTGAAACACCTGACTCTCTTGCTGCCTCATAAGTTAGACAGTCCATCGGCTTACATTCCTCTTGCTTTATTCAACAGAATCTTTCCTGCATAATTCCTTCAATTCAATAGCTCTGGTATTTCCCTGGCCCTGGGGAGGGCTTAGCTTTTCTATTTCAGATTCCAGAAGAACTTGTACAGTCACTGGAGAAAACAAAAACAAGCAAACAAAAACAAAACAAAATAAATAAACACCTTCCTGGAGCAGGTGAGCTTTCTATCCACTATGAAGAGTTAGATCAGCTCCTACAAAGTCTGTGGTGTGCTCATGTATGTTTGGAGATGGAAACATGACAGGTTTTCTATGAAAAGCTTTTAACGCCTCAATAATGAAACAGACTCAGCTTGTCTGTGATGGAAGTGTTTTTCCACTGACTCCCTAAGCTGTGAGAGCTTTTCAGATGTGAATATTAGAGAACTGAATTTAAAAAATAAGTCTTGTGCCTATAGTTTTTTGTTTGTTTGTTTGTTTGTTTTAATACTTTCTGTTAAAGCCTTTAAGAAGATCTCTCCTGGTTTTACTGCCCATGTCCTGAACCAGATGAAACTGGTTGAGACCAAACACTAACTTCTTCTTTCTCACATATTTGTGGGTGCAGGACTCTCTCTTGCCAAATCAGAAACATTTTTCTGCAATCTCTGTTATAGTCTAATAAGTATGTACAGGCAGTACAAGTAGAAGACAGGAAGCAAAGGGTATGAATTGTCCAAAAATACACTGATCTTCCCCAGATGTTACCTATCTGCAACCTTCCAATGTCCTTTATTTTAAGTTTTTATAATAGCTGCAGTCTTGGTGTACTTATTTCCATGGAGACACAGCTGTCAAAAACGTTTTAAGTACCTGTAGTGTTGTAGAACACAGTGACTGTTTAAAACCCTGCTTCCTGCCTGCACCTGATGAATCTAACACGAGTTTATTTGTCCTTTCAACTGTAAAACTATCAAAGAACTATCAAAAAACTATCTATTAAGGCTTTTCCTAAAATGCTGTACTGGGGTGTTTATTTACTTTCTGTTTAAGGTGTAGAGTCATATTGAAAATGGCTCAAGAAGGAGTGAAAATAGGAGAAGAAAAAAAGGACTAAGGGACTCCACCCCTATCCTTACTTGTTGTATCCCTTGGTTATAATGTACAGTAGAGATGCAGCAGGAGCAGACTAGTTGACTGCACTAGGAAAGTTGAGGTGAAGGTGAAAGCTCTTGAGCTGCAGTAAAAACCAACAGTTTGGTGCCATAATATATGCCAGCTGCATCTGCACGATGCTCATTTTGTCGAAGCTGAAATATTAAAAGGAGGATTTAGTAGTTTCCTCTAATTCCTACGCACAGCTGAAGCAAGAGCTGGGTGCAGCTGGAGCTATGTCTCACATAGCTGCTCGCATCTGCCTCCCAGTCACCTGTGCCTGCCTGTGAGCGCTTCTGGAGGGGACTCGTTATGCAAGTGCTACAGAATGCAAGTAGTCATTTCAACATGCCAAATTTCCCAAGCGTAGAAGAGGTGTTAGCTGTAGAGGTACGTGATGTTCTTTCTATATATAAGCAAACATCCGATTATTATTCACATTAATATGAAAAAGATCTTTCTAATTCCACAGTGCACATGGTGTTGTTGCCAATGTGGCTCTTAATAAAAGTATTCTAGGATTGGATTTGTTTTAAGACTTCTGAAGTCTGTCAAAAAATTCCTTCCCAGTTGAATTGCAGGTTGATGTAAGAGATTTCTTTTTACCTACTGTAATTTGTTACGTTTTTTTGTGACGCATAATGAGATAAAGCATTATCAGAGTAATGTTTTGTCTCATTATGCATCACCAAATTTCTCTGAAGTTCTGTGCTCAGTTCATTACCATTATCCTGCTTTATTAATTTTATTTACAGATCATCTTTGCATTAGCTCCCAAGGCAACTAAACAAAAGGTGCATTAGACATGCAGAGTTTAATTCAGCTCTGCAGAACTATCCCCTGCTTCACAATGTCATAGGTATGAGTCCGTGGTTTATTTTTGTCACAATTCTGCTTTATTTGATTTCAGCTTTGAGCAATGAATAAAATAAAGTTTTGCATGAAGAGATTCAGTGACTGCAAACGTGGAAGGGCTTCAACATATCCTTTTAAGTGAAAAACAACTGACATTCTTCAGTAGCATTCAGAGAACTGTAATCAAAACCGTATTCTCAAAGATCCTGCCTTGCAGGAGACATCATGCAAAATAGCCATGAGCATCTGCTGGGATTTTGGGCATTGGACTAGACAACGTCCATCCTCAGCTATGCTGTGCTTCCGTGCTTATGTTTAAGTGAAACCATTCTGTGCCAATGATGGTGATCTGCTGCACAATGTGATTATTATTAAAACTTTATTGCATTTTTTTCAAGGTCTGGACTACATTACATACAGAGTAAATTGATCTTGCATATCATAAAACATTAGGTTATATCAGAAGTAATTAAGATAAAGATTGCAGACAACAAGGTATTAAATGTGCTCTGGAAACAATGAATGGATAGGAGTGGATGTAGGAGACAGGGTCCAGCAACAAGCAGAAAGATTGCTGAAAAGTGAGTAGAGAATCTGCAGAATGAAAAAGAATCCAGCAGAAGGGTAAAAAGTCTCCAGTAGTAACAGTTGACCCAGAGGAGGAAGGAAAGACACAGCAAAGAAAATGGAAAAGAAATGAGAGCTTTGCAACAGAAAGGATAAAGAGTGTGCATGGAAAATATGGCTAATCCATACTTTACAGCAATTTGCATCTTCATAATTGTAGTTCATAAGTATGAAGAAAACAGATGGGGGTGTCTCTCTTTTAAAATGTGAACTTGAAGACCCAAAACAAAGCCCAGTTTGAAAATGGAGTTTTCAATCTAGCTTAGTCCTTGAGAAAAACACTGCTGATCAACATCTTTCAAAAAAAAAAAAGAAAAGAAAAAAGAACATTTTAAGTTCTAAGTCAGAAAGCAGCAAGTAACTGGTCAGCTCAGCAAGCTTCAGCCTGACCTCGCAATGGGTCTAAAGGAAAACTTTGGATCAGAAACTCTTCCACTCACCTTTCAGCAAGGATCCATTTCATCACTTGAGTGTCAGGAGTAGGTAAGAAATCAGAACACAGCCATCTCAGCATATCATCCCTGAAAATTACGTCTGGAAGGGACCCTGAAAGGTCATGTAGTCAATTTACTATATCAATAAAGGGTAAACTACAAAATTCTTCACAGAGGAATGTTTTTAACTGCCTTTATATACTTCCAGTATGGGAGTTTCTCATCTTCCTCAAGCAGTCTGTTTGTAGAACTTCACCACTCTCTCCTAATCTCTGATGTGCATTTTTTGCTGTATTTTAAGCCCTTTCAGTCTAGTTTTTCCCCTGTGAACAATCAGATCAGGTTACTGTCTTCATTTTCTGACACAGCTTGTGTGTATACTGCTCTCATGGTTCCCATCAGCCTTCTCCTCTTTAGAGTAAACAATTCCAACTGTTTAAATCTTTCCTCTGGGTCATATTTCAGTTTTTCCTGCTAGTCTACTTCAACACCCTAGATTTTCCACATCATTCTTGAAATATGCTGGCTAAAGCTGGATACGTCTCCACCAGAAACCCTGTTCTTGCTGACTAAAGGGGAAGGATCATTTTGCTGATGACAGTCCTGTTTATCTCTTTGAGATGAGGTTTGCCTTTTTTGTGATAGTACGCCATGGCTGACTCAAGCTGGTAAACCGATATAAACCTTGGATCCTTCCCTAGAGCCCTTTCTGTATTTGTCTGCTGAATTATTCCCATCTGAGGTAGTACCATGCATTACAGCATCCTGCACGTCAGGAGAGTTTTGAACTAGAAACCTACTCTCTGGCATATTTGAAGTCTTCAGTCTGCAACAACATGCCAAACAGGGGCTTGCCGTCAGCAACAGGAATGGGTTCAGAAATGCAGCAGAGATCTCACAAAATGGACGGTACCTTCTAGGAGTGCTGCAGTCGCACAAAGGGCAAGCACAAAGACTCCAAGTGAAAACCTTTTTAAATGCAGACCGTAGCACAGAGCTTTCATTCGTAGTGACACTTTCTGGTGACAACACAGTGTTGGGCTACTTTTATATATTGCTGCTTCTCCATCTCCTGTTCATTTGTAAGTAATTAAACACAGAAACTGTTGTAATCTGGTCTATGATTATACCTTTAAAAGGGCGCTGTGTCCCAAGGAGGGATAACCTCAGAACACAGCTAGGACAAACAGACTTCATCAGCTTTTACATTAGCAAAGGCTGGTGGAGATGTGGCATGGCCCGAAGCATAGGACACCTGGATGCAGAGGGAAGTTTTCCCAGTAATAATAGTAATTATTATTATTATTTTATCAGATACCAGGACTAACACAGTGCCTAGCACCACTAAGAACCTTTTCAAGAGGCACTTCATGCCTGGCCTGTCAGCTGGTAAAGAACTGGCCCTCTTGTCACATAGATTGACAGCTATTTTGATATGAGCCTCTACTGTGTCTCTAAGCAATCTCACATGTCTAATGTCAGTATCTTTTCTTTCACAGCTGTTAACATCTGAAATTTCCTCCCTGTGTTTCACCCTATTCAGTATCTGCTGAAGAGGTGTTGGTTTTTTTTTCACCTTTGCATGGATATATACCTACCAAACACACTGTAGGCTTTGCATGGGAAGCAAAGTTTCAGCCTCTATGTATGTAGAATGAAACATAACCTCATTGAAGGCACAGTTTTTATTTCTACACTGCAGAATGAGTTTTCTGAAAATCATGAGATTTGTTAATGTCGTAATTTTTTTAAAAAACAATTTTTTGGACAAACAGATTTTAGTAACTATGGTAGCAGAAAGATCCTTCAAATAGAGAAAGGAGCCATTTTCAGCTTGAATGCCCTGTTTTATCATGTGTTCTTGTAATCCTTCTTGATATAAAAGGACTGCAAGATTATGATGATATGGCGCAGGCATGTGTTGTTATTGGAAAGACTGCCAGAAGCATAAGCTGAATTTAAGAGGAACTTCCTACTGAAGTGGAAAAAAGCAATGTTAGCAGGTATTGTAAAAAATCAGGATGTCCTACCCATGATGAAAATCATAGATTAATGAAAAGTGAGCATTTTTAGTATGTTATGATTTTTCTAGGATTTATATTTTTACAGATGACAATTTATTGAAATCCTTCCCTTGGAATAGTCTAGCCAATATTTTAAACAGTAAAATGTATACAGTGTTTTCAATAATTTATGTAATGCCTGAGGACAATTTTTTTATACCAATAGTGGACAATTATTTTCTCTCACACTTTTAGCGAGAAAAGACTAGTCAGGTATGAGCAGAAGGATTTTTGTTGGGAGGCTGAAAGAAAACAGGCGGTAAGAAAACAGGCGGTTACCAATTAAAAGGTAATGACTTTGGGGCTGATTACGTATTAAGGACAAGAAAAAGCCTTAGGAAAGGAGCAACTGAGTCTTCTCCCTTCTTCTCATGTTTCATGTTTGCTTTCCTGTTTCTCTGCAGAGGATTAAAATGTAGAGAAGATTTGAAAGGATGAATTTCTTTCAGCTCTGTCTGTCAACAGTCCAGTAACTGTATCAATAGAATTAGAACTTAAGCATGCAATTACAAGTAATTTTACATTTTTAAACATCTAATTTGAGTTTATGGTTTATAAACAGAGGAAAACGTAGGCTGTGTGCTTACACTTGGCCAAATTAGTTTTGTAGAGAACATGTATAACCTTGTGTATTGTGTACTTGATAAGACAGAGCTGTGCGTGAACTATTATTAACTCAGCCAGCAGTGCTCTCTCCTTTAGTGTAATAATCTAGTGAATCATCTATTTTGTTACAATTTAATAATTGCATCTTCATTCATTTACTTAAAAGAAAAACAAAACAATTTGGCATAGTCTGAGACAAAAAGCTTTATGAACTCTGCCCAGTTTGAAATTAAGTTACAATAATGTGGTTACCTAACACATTACTTAATACATTAAGCAGTTTAAAGTAAAGCAATGAAGCAAGACGTTGTACAATTTTACATTTGCCAGAGAATGTGTGGTGTCTTCATGACACTGGACAGGATGCACTGCAGTGAAGGCTCCCTTTGTAGTTTATGCTGTGTTCCAAATAATTTTTCAAAGTAATCCCATCTACAAACCCCAAACCACGCTTCATCACCACCTTCCTTGTGCAGCTGCATGAGTAAAGGTCTGAAACCGGGTGCTCTGTGTGCCCCGCTGTAACTGGAGGTTTGGCTTGTAGCGGAGATTTGGGGAAAAAACAGAGTTGTATTGTAGACCTCTCTATTTTGGGCTATGTAATACATTACCTTTCTGTTAACTGCATAACTTTTAATAACTGTTTAATGTTCTGTGCCATTAATAATCTCACTTTAAAAATAAAAGGCAAGGCACGAACGCCAGGCGTGCTGATCAGACAGCTTGTGCCCACTGCCACACGGGCACTGGTGGCTGGGCTCACCAGGCCACAGCAAAGCCTGGCATTCCTCTCGGCTCTGCTATGTGACTTAATAGCAAACGCTTTGGTTGTTCTTTCAGGGAAGCTCTTTGTGTATATTGTGAGTCATGCTTGTTGAAACCGTGTCCTTTCACCCCCCTTCAAACTGTAGGATTATCGGAGATCCTAGTGATGCCATGGCGCTCCTGGCATCCCGACTGCTGGAAGAGGTCTCGTGATAATTAATTATTAGCGACTTCTCTGAGTTTACACGAATTCCCATTTCGTTTCCCCCTGGCTCAGAGGGCGGGCAGGCAGGCAGGCAGGCAGGCAAGCAAGCAAGCAAGCAAACCCCACGCCCTCACGCCAGCTCCCTCCCCCCTTCCTTCCGGGGCGCTGCCTCCAGCCGCCCGCTCTCAGGGGGGCTCGGGCACCCGCTCCCCTCCCGGCCCACCCCGCCCCGCGGCCGTGCGCATGCGCCTCCCCCGCGGGGCGCCCTCTCCAAATGGCGGCGCGGGGCGGCCGCCGCAGCCCGCCGCTCTCAAGATGGCGGCAGCGCGCGGCCCGCCGGCGGGGTGGGCGCACAAAATGGCGGCGCGCGAGGCCCCCTCTCCTCAGCAGGGCGCCTGCCCGCCTGGCGGTGGTGATGATGCCGGTGGCGATGCCGGCGGGGCTGGATCCGCGCTTACCGAGCAGCCGCAGCGCTGCACCGCGGAGGGGAGGGCTGGCGGCTCGGGGGCGGCGCTAGGCGGCGGCGAGGGCAGCCGCTGTCGCCATTGCGGCGCGCCGCGGCGCTGCGAGGGCCCCTGACGGAGCTCGGCCGCGGCGCCATGGCGGGCGTGGGGCGGCGGCCGCGGGAGCCTCGGTGGTGAGAGAGCTCCCGTCCCGCCGCCGGCTGGACACAGCCCCCGGCGTCTCCCCGGTGCTGCCGCCCCCTGCGCTCCGCGGAGATGGCGTCGGGGCTGCGCGCCGCCGGCTTCCCCCCCTGGAAGCGGCACATCGCGGCCGAGCTGCGGCGGCGGGACCGGCTGCAGCGCCAGGCCTTCGAGGAGATCATCGCGCAGTGTAAGCGGGCGCCGGGGTCCCGGGGGCCTCCGCTCGTCGCCTTGTGCGAGGAGCGGCGGCGGGGCGCTGCTCGGTTCGCTTTGTGGCGGAATCAGTGATAATAGCGACTTCAAACTTTGGACTCTTTGCGTTTAATCGGATATCGAGACGCTTAAGTAACAGCAGGCTCCCTACCAGGCTTTTGTAGATCCAGTCCCTCACAGCCTCTGAACTAAAGAGTTCTTGGTGCTGTTGTTGAGTACTGCCTTAGGCTGCTGGCATTAAAGCAGGCTGCTCGTTAGTGTGGTACAGGCTTACGTGATGTTTTGTCACGTCAAAATAATTAAAGATACTAAGTTTTAGCTGGTGAAAAGAACAGGATGGGAATCTGGTTTTGCTCTTTGGTTATTTTCTTATTGTCCTTTCAGATAACAAGCTACTAGAGAAGTCAGACCTTCACGCCGTGCTGGCTGATAAGCTGCAAGCTGAAAAGTATGACATGCAGAGCAGGCATGAAATCAGGTATTTAAAACCTCTTCTGTGTCCGTCTGTCCTGTGAGGTGTAACCCGAATCACTGATTGATGCATTGTACAGACAACTTCTAGGCTATTACAGTATGTTGGAGTTAAATGAAGTGAAAAATATATTGAACTAAAAAAAATAAACTAAAACTCTAAATGTGATAAAGTGACAGTTTTTACATTATGTGGTGGAGAAAGATCTGATCATGTTTTAGACAGGAAGTAATTTATCGTGAGTTCCAAGTATGGAAATGGATCAGATTGAGCTTTTATTTCTCCTGGGTTTGCCTAGTGTTAATACCTAATGAATATGACCTGACTCTTGAAACTGTCCAATCTTAAAAGCATTGCAGAGAGAGACGGTTGTCTTAATTTCAGTCTGGAGGCTGTGTTACTGTGTAGAGTGGGCAGTGGAGAAATGCATGATTGTGAAATGTCAGTCCTAAGCAAGCGTCTTACACTTAAAAATAGAAAACACAGGATCGGCCTGCTTTTAGCAGGGTTTTATCGGTCAACTTCCTTTCTAATGTGGGAATAACACTAGTGCTGCAGGCAGCAGTCATGCTGCTTATTCTGTTGGCACTTGAATCCACTGCAAACCAGTATGCTAGCAGCGTCTCTGCTGTCTGGAAAGCATGCACATTCCAGCAGGTAAGGACTACGGGGTTCTCTTCTTGGTGAAGAAAAAAACATCGGTTAGCTCAAAGTTACTTGCTTCCATAAGAATTGCTGCCTCTGAAGTTATTGTTGCTGTATGACGCAATACTGTATGTGTGTCTCATTGGGATGAAAAGCAAATAAATATGCCTGTTGTGTACTACTACCGCTGGTAAGGAAAAAAGAACTGATTCTCCAGGAATTGTGGGCAGAACTTCAGTGTGTGGCCAGCAAGCTGGAGTTAATACCTATGTGACCGTTCTCAGGAGCTTTCTGATGACTGTAGTTGTCTGGAACCAACTGTAGTTTATGGGAATCAGATTCTGACTGAACTCCTATTCCAAAAGATGAGACTGAGAGTAGAAAAGGATGAGAAGAAATGAACAGCATCTTCAAACTAAATACTAATCAGAATTCTGATACTGTCCTTGGAATACAACCATTTGTTCAAACGGAATGAATTTCCTAATACTAAATAGTTGAAGAAAAATGCTTTTAATTACCATAACAGAAAGAAAGGATATCTAGTTCTGGCTGTAGATTTATGCATGGTCAGAACTATGGGACCTGTTGGATATCACCACAGGACTTATCCTATTACCTGTTCAGACAAAGACTTTCTAGAAATGCAGTGTCTTCTAGTACAGCATTGGCTCAGGGTTCAGTGAGGTGTTTTTCATTTGTTGTGAAAAGGCCACTAAGTTAATGATACCACTGTGGGATCTTTCAGCTTCTGAATCATCATCTGCTACCCTCTGGGTTGCTGTCACATAGAATGACTGCGGAAACAGATGCTTGCCATTTGCTTGCAATGATAGGAATAAAATTATTTTATTGAAAAACTGTGATTTAAAATGCACCCGCTCAGTCTCTGTGCATGTGTGATACGTGTGTGCATGTGCTTTTAAAAAGCTAAGTTCTGTCTCTGTTCTCAAAGATGTGAGTGATAAC